GGTTTAGAGACGGATACTGCAGCTCCTACCAATTGTGCAAAAGCAAACTAGAAAGTCCCTTTATAGCGAACTATGCATGACTATAAATGTTCCTATTAGCAATATTATCCAGCCTATTTATAAAACCAAAGAATTTGACTAGTTACCAACCACCAAGCAAAAGTAGCATGATGTTGCACATACACAATTGTTCTGCTATTGATTACCATTCCTTTTTCAGTTATTACACTTTTCCAGGTAACTTCTGCTATTCATTGCCTGAACTTGGTGCATCAATCATCCCAAATCAACCAGTGGCTTTGTTCAGACAGCTATATAACACAAAACATGTATGTGCATAAAAACATCTCCATGTAACAGTCCTTAGAAATCAGGTATAGAACAATAAAGGATCAATACCTAAGAATATAGTGAAACCATAATTCTTGCTTTTCTTGATAAAAGTAGGAGAGACTTTACTATCGTCAACTACCTGCAAAGCCCTAATTCTGTATATTCAGCATGACAGAAATTGAGTCAGGTCCTGCAAGTGCTGAAACATACATAACCTCATTGAAATCAGTGGCACAATGGACTTGCCATACTGGATTCATCCATGAACTCTAGTTTTCTTGTTTCTGACAGCAGCCAGTGCCAGAATCCTCAGGAAGGTGCAAGAAACTCTGTAGTAGACAATTATGGTATTAAATCCTCAGAGGGAAAGTTTTTCCCCTAACTCCCTGCAGATCAGGGAATAAACCAGCCCTTAAGCATATAGTTTTCTATTCCTTATAAAAAGTTATCCAGTCCAATATAACTGTTGATGTGTTCATTAGCCATATAGATGCCTAACCCTTATGAAATCCTACTGAGCTGTTAGCCTCAATGATATCTTGTGGCACAGAATTCCGCAGGTTAATTATGTTTTCTATAAAGATACTTGCTTCCATCAGTTTTTTATTCAGTCTTTTAGTTGTATTGAATGATCCCCTGCTTTTGTACTATGAGAAAAGGGAGCATACAATTTACCTTTGTAATGCCATTCAATCAGATTCTTTGATTAAGGGATATACGATCAGGCCCAGAGTTACTTAAACTCAGTGTGAAGATGGATCTCTCTGTAAAAAGCAATTAGGCAAAAGACTGACGAGAAGGTGGAATTTCATACTTTTTTTTTTTTTATTAGTTTGAATACAAGACCTAGTTGTGAGACATGGTACAGTTCTGTTGCATGTGTGTCTTCTCCCAACATTTTAAAACTAGAGGAGATTATAGACTCTTTGAAAAAAGAACTATACTTTCCTACATGTTTATACAGTGCCTAGTTGACATTCCGTAGGCCTTAAGGTAGTGGTCGCCAACCTTTTTAAGCACAAGATCACTTTTTCAATGTAGGAGTCAATCCAGGATCCACCTTTAACCCAAGTAACCTTGCCCACCTCCTTCCCTGCCCCTTCTCCAAGGCCCTGCCCCTGCCCTGCCTCATTCCTTCTTAGAGGCCTCGCCCTGCTCACTCTGTGGAGATGTGGTACCATTAATTATTGTGATATTCAGGACTGATTGACTTCCCTATGTAGAATAGTTGTAGTCATGTAGGTCCCAGGGACACAAGGTAGGTCAGATAATACCTATTACTAGAATTTCTGTTGGTGAGCAGGACAAGCTTTCAAGCCACACCAAGCTCTTCTTCAGTCGGATTTCCTGGTTATTCTACATTCTATGGTATATGTTCAGAATCCACTGTTCTGTGAAGACTGATGCCATGCTGGCATTTCTTGGCTGCGTTTTAAGATCTTCAGGTAATTCTGGATATACCACATGTACCCTATTACATGTCAATCATCTAAACAAAATATAAATGATTAAAATAAATAGAAATACAACTTTTGCCTATTTAAAAATGAATCGAGGAGGCCTCCTGCTCAAGATTCAGAAGAAGAGTAAAACACTGTACCAAAAAGAAAAGAGTCAATAGTATCTTACTGAAAAAGAAAAATATTACAGATCCCGTGAACATCCATCAAGAACATTAGGCTTCCATTTGTTTAAATTTAGTGGCTATTAGCTAGTGGTGATATTACAACTTTTGCCTATTTAAAAATGAATCGAGGAGGCCTCCTGCTCAAGATTCAGAAGAAGAGTAAAACACTGTACCAAAAAGAAAAGAGTCAATAGTATCTTACTGAAAAAGAAAAATATTACAGATCCCGTGAACATCCATCAAGAACATTAGGCTTCCATTTGTTTAAATTTAGTGGCTATTAGCTAGTGGTGATATTAATAAAAATTAGTAAATTTCACTTTTTTTTCCAGTTAAAGTCTCTTTCAGGTTCTCAGACACTAGCACAATATTTCAATGTTATGCCAGTACACTGAAGAGGACTTAAGAAAACTTTTTAATAGTAGTAGTTTAAGGAAATAGCTTGGTTGTACATGTTATAAATGCTTTTTTAATCAAACCTAAATCTCAGCCCAAGATTCACCTGACAGTGACACTTGAGAAATATTCTGGTACCAAGACATGAGTCTTTGCAAAATTATGGTCTTCAGAATTATTGTGATTGTACTCCTTAAACAGAATTCTTGCTTTAAAACTATTAAAAATTAATCAAACTTGTTAATGATTTTATCCAATAATTCTATTGGTCTTGCTTCCTTATAGATTTCCTGAAGCATCAAGTTAATTGTTTACATGTTTTTGTTTACATCAATGTAATAAGTCACAAACATCCAACATAGGAAACTTCCAATTGTTAATTCCTTTCTTTAAAATGCAGAAGTGTTTTATTAAAAGGTTATTTTTTTTCTCAATGGGGGGGGGGGGCGGAGGGGAGGTAGAGAGAGAAACCCTTTATATTTATAGTTTTATTTCTCTTTTTTCTGTAAGGCACACAATCTGTGTAGGATGCAGCTTTTAAATCTATACCAATACTGTCCATAAAGCTCAATACAGGCCTTCATTTAATTCTTCATTTTAGTTTAGGCAGCACTTTGATAAGCTTATCAGAATGGACTGAACTGACAGTCTGTGATGACACAGACTACACTGTAAGGGGAAAACAAAGATTTACATTAGTGTATCATCTCCAGAAAACACACTGAACTGTGTAATTCACTAGACAAATATACAAGGTTTGCTAAAGAGTTTAAGGAAAGTAGTAAAACTGAACATTTATTTTTATGAATTCATTTTGAAATTAAGTCACACTTGTGAAATACACATGGTGTAAACAAGTTATCTAAATTTAAACCATTCCTTTCAATCCTGCAACAGCCTCAGTGACTTGCTACTAAACACGCATACCCACACTCCGGGGGGATGGGGGGGGGGGAAACCCACACCACACATTGATGAATTAGAGGTAATGGAAGGGATTTAAGCCTGAGGCCATTGAAGACCATTTTGAAAATTGTGTGATACTAGTTCATGTCTATATTTTAAAGTTAAAGAATCAGACAGCAATAACCTTAATTCTTTTAATAGCTAAATACCCAATAAAGTGTTATGAACAAAACAGTTATGTGCAAATCAATATGCAGTATAGCAATTTCCATAAAATTCATAGTAAATATTTAAAAACAAATCCTGAAGATCTCTGTTCAATATGCAGGATAACTGCATTGCTATTTTCTTAGTTGGCCTGAGTACCATAGCAGATTGAATATAGAATAGATTTAACTATAAAGATTACAAAATCCTGTCTGTCATCTTTAGAAATGCTGATATTTTTGCACCATTGTATGGGGTGAAAACCAGAAGAACTGCAGTCTACATACAGCTGCTGATATATGCCCTGATCACGTTACTGTATTGGTGGTAGTCCCTTCCTGTCATCATCCGAGAGAATGCAAAATGACTAAGAATCTGACTAAAGACCATGAAGTATCTACTCTGTATTTTTTTTAAAAATGAGTTCCTTTTCCTAGCCTCTTGCTCAATAAAACATAAAAATAGCTTTATATATGTTGCAGAGGTGGGGGGGAAGGGAGAAATGATAGCTTCAAATAGGCTCAAGAAACAGAAGGCTTTTGCTATATGATGCCCAGACTGGCATCCTTGTGATATTCCCACAAAGCAGGGGTGAGGAATCTTTTTTGGGTTGGGGACCACTGATTCAGAGAAAAAAAAAAATCAGTCAGTGTCCCCAGAGAAGGAAAAAGACTCCCCACATTGCCTTCACACACCAGTGTCTTGGGGGGCCCAGGCTAGTAGATTGTGTGCTCCAGCCCCAATGCTGGGGAAGCCCCGAACCTCTGGGGCTGGATCCAGGCAAGCTGGGGGCCGCATCCGGGCCCCAGGCCTTAGGTTTCCCCACCCCTGCCATAAAGCATCTTATGTGCCTAAATACGCTACAATTGCTTTGTAAAGAAATAAAAGGCCTGTAAAGAACCTCAAATATATATACATAGTGTTAAAAGCCTGCATCTTCAACCCAAAAACACATCACGGTAAATATCACCTTGGATTCAAATGCATTTGATCCCCCTCAAATAATTCAGCAGCATATCCTTAAAACTAGAGACTGTGACCAAACAAAATCCTATCCTGAAAAAACTTAAAAGAAAATCTACAGAATCTGCGCTGGGCAACATTTTCAATGACATTGACACAAGGCTGGTCAAATTCAGAAAGTGAGTTTCCTCATACGTGATCAATTGCTACCTAATCAAATAATCTTAAAATGCCAAAATAACCGCACCCATACTCACATTTGTTTTGTGATCAGGACATTTCTATACTACTATGAATGCTTCTGTATTTAACCTGATCCTCTCAGGGTGATAAAAGAAATGTGCCCATCTTGAACACCACACAGTACTGAGGATTCACTGCATTAGACTAAACACGCTGTGCATTATATCATTTGCAACATACCAATTCTGCAAAGCTTCAAGACAGGAATTTTAGGAGAAATATATACACAATTCCTTCACTCAGACAGAGCACATTTTTATAACCCCTCCATTAATGCTTTTAAAACTCTAGGAATATTACAAGACATGCTGACAGAATAACCTACCTTCCATCATGGTGGCAGAATTGCATTCCTCAATTTCCAAGAAGCCTGAAAAAAACCCAGGAAAATATAATTCCAGTTACCAGATGCTTAGTGTAAGTCCTTAAAATAAATGCTTTAGATCCCTGATTCGTGCAGCAGTCAGAGCAAAATGGAAAACAATGCTAAGGCAAAAAACAGGCCATGGATGCTGCTGTATCTATATCACCTACAGGATCACAGAAGGATGCTGAAAGAGAAAGGGAGAGAAAGAGAGCTGGCTTGGCTCACACGCCTGCCAGCATCTCAGCCAATCCCTCCAGCTCTGTACCTCGTCACATGGTAGCTTGCTTGCATCTCCTGACACAATACCCCTTGAGAACAGCAGAACCCATTTCCCATTTTCCCCCCACTTTCACCAAACACATAACCCCTTTTCGTACCTTGTGACGCACTTCCCCTCTTTTTAATCCTATTGCAGCAGCTGGGTGAACAAGATTAATTATCAGCCACTGTCAGATTAAGAGAGGGCTCTGCCGTGAAATGTGCACATAAGATGGACTGCAAAAGAAAAAAAAATAGTTTGAATAAGTAATCAGATTTTACTAGCATTGTATGGCTCCCTCCATTCAGAGCAATTGTGTTCTAATAATATCAGTGCATTCAGAACATCAGCTTCTGTATCTCTCTGAAACAGAGGCAGTGGCTTTGCTTCACTTTTGTGTCTGCTGATCCCTCTTCTCTCCCTCAGCCATTCAAGAGAAAAATCAATTGGACTGACGTCATATCATAAACAATTATCCCCAAAAGGATGATGCAGAAAAAAAATTTCACCCGGACCCGCCTTCAAGACAGCCTTGGAATTAATTTCGCATGAACAGCATCAGAGCCAAAGGGGCAGGGAATTGCCATTAAAAAGAGGAAACAAAAGACACACACAAGGGAGTGGGGCTCTCAGCTTAGACTGCAAATGCATGACAATTTCAGGGGTGAGGTCTGAGGTCGGGGGAGGGAAAAACCAAAAGGTACGGACAGTGGATTGCAGACATTCATTTATACACAATCCAACCCCCACAACCTGTATTAGCTTCAAGCAGCTATCACAGTCATCTCTCATAGTATTGTCTGTGTGTGAAATGCTCAGACAACAGCTTTACCCCACCACCACCAAGCATGTTGAATTCATTTTCCTGCGGGACTCCACTTGAGTCAGATACTGTAAGCTGGGAAAGTATTGTTAGAAAAGCAAACTGCTACCTCTCATGAGTTTCTCTGGCATTTATATCTTTCTACCTATAGATTTTCTGTAGAAACCCTCACATCAGTATCTGAGTCTATCTTTATCCCGAGTTTTCTCTTGCCATAATGTGTGTCTTTAATGTTTCTGTAGTCATTGTTTACTATGTAAATTTTAAATCAAGACAGATGGGTCAGGAAAGAATACAATATTTTTTAAAAAAAGACGCTTGCAGAACTGCTTGAGAGAGTCAGCACATTCAGATCAGTCATCAGACATGTTACTGAAACTACACATTATCTCTTTGACACAATACGTCTTTAGGTGTAATTGCTTTCCTTCCCAAAACACCAGAAAAGATTATTTGCTAATAAGAAAATACTTACCAATTCCCCCACACTTTGTGTTAAATATGCTATTTCCACAACTTCAGGAAAATGGAGACGTCTCTCATATCCTCACTTGGAGCATTACCACTTGCTATTTCCTTCCACTGACAGGCAAAGATTTTAGCCTAGTACTACAGAATTAATCAGCTACAGTGCAGAGGTCTGCCCACAGGTAGAACGTTGCAGAACACAAGTTCTTTGGGACAGAATTTGGGCCTTAGCTAACTAAACTGACTGAGATTAAGTGTCTCAGGTTAAGAGGAGACGATGACTGTCAATGCCAAAAGTTATTTAAGTGATGGATGGATTGGGAGAGAGAGCCTCAAACATGTCTGACCAACTCCAACATATCTCTAGGCCATGACATCTGCCTGATACAGTGCAGCTCCAGTACATATAAGTGTTCTGTGTTCCTTTTTTAGAATCACACCAACAAGGTGGGACATTTGTATTTAACCATGACAGGGTTTATTATAATAAAGGAGAAAAAACCCCACAAACAAAAAGAAAAAAGCTCTAATCATAGAGATTATATAAATATACATACCCCTGATTGGTCTGCTTTGGGACCTCTTTCCACTTGCCTCAGCTTGTGATGATTTCTTTGACTTTTACAGACAGAAAAGCAGCTCTCCCAACCCCTAGATAGAAACCTAACATTGCAGCTCCCAAAACTTTTCTATGGCATGGAACACACTTTAGTAGGGAGCACATTTTCCTTCCATTGAAGAAATGACAATCCAGCAGCAACTACAGCATAGCTCAAGTAATATTAGGAAAGCATGTAAAATAGATTTAGCTTTCTATGAATGCCACATAGTAGACAGCGATAAGGAGTTAGCACCTGCAGACTACCAGCAAGTGATCTACTTAGTGTGGAAACACTCACCTAAAGGAAAGAGTACCAGTTATTAATATACTCTGTAAATTTACAGTCTAGTCAAGACAGACAAAGGGATGAGGAGAAAGGAAGTATTGTCCCTATTTTATGTATAGGAAACTGAGAAAAAGAGTAACTGTCTGGCCAAGGTCATTTAACTGTCCCGTTGCTGAGCAGGGTTTTACAGTTTGGCTCAATTTGACCGCTGTCATACAGAAAATGTGGCAAAGACAAATACTGAATCCAGATCCGCAGCAGCCCAGACCAATGTCCCAGCCAGAAATCCATCCTGCCACTCACCTCTACTTTTTGCACTCGAAAACACCTACACACATTTAAATTGAATCAATTGCTTTAAACTAAAAACAAAATTTTAAGTTCTCTAAAAACCCAGAAACTTCAACCTCTTATCTTTTGGTCTAAGGAATTGAATGGTCGAACAAACTCACCCTGAAATAAACCTAAAACCTCCATTTTCTAATACTCTCCCCAGGAATACTGCTGTATTTAAAGAAATATTACAAAGAATAAATATAAAATATGCACAGAGTTGAGAGAATAAACTTGGCAATAAAAGCATAGAGAGAGAGAGAGAGAGAGAGAGAGAGAGAGAGCTGATGGGTGCCCAGTCCCAGAATGAGGCACTCAGCACTATGGCTGCATGAAACATTCATAACCCATCCCGACCATCATATCAGGTTCACCCACGTTCAGGTTTTGTTACCAAGTCAGATGAAGTTTATCAAAGTGTTTGCTTTTTTTTTTTTCCTTTTTCCATTAACTTGGTGGTTTTGCCATCTTGTGTGTCAGCCTGACTGACTCAGCAATTGACGGTTTTGTTTTGAGTCTGTTGGAACCCATGCTTCAAAAAGGGAAAAGAAAGGATGGCATAGAATGTCCACATGAACCCCTGGGAAACAAAACTAATGCCAACCTTCTCAGGGTTCACCAGTGTGTACCAAAGTCATACCCTCTGCCCCACAGGAAACTCTGGTGGCTGTCAACTTTGGGGGACTTGGGCCCAAGTGCAGCAGCACCATTTCCCCATTCCTGAGCACAGAGATGCCTGAACTAGGGATGGTACCACCATGCCTGCTGGCTAGTAGTGGTTTTTGTCACACACAATGTTTACTGTTTGGTTCAATAGCTCTCAGAACCCCTCCTTTGGCAGCACCTATTTTACTAATATTAGCCTCCAGAACAACAGAAATGTCAGAGAGGGACACTTCTACCCACATAAAACTTCAGGGACTTTGTCACTAACCCCGACTTCACCTGACAATATACCCTAATCAGAAAAAAGGCTGAAGAAACAGCTCTTTACTTTTCACAGGAAAGAGTTGAGACTCTTCCACAACGTGCACCCTAAGTCGACCATGTTGTTGTGAGAAATCCTTTGGGTACTTGGGGCTTATAATACAATCGGTTAAGAAGCACGTTGAATTTGTGTGGATCATAGGAATTGTAGCATCACCAAGAAAGGAAAGGAGTCTGGCCATCTTTTGAAAGTCCTTTTATATTCTGGTAAACATGTCACACTGCACTTGTCATTCTCTATTAATGTGCCCATTTTATTCTCTCTTTAATATAAAGGCACAGCCTCTTTTATGAACCTATGATTCTACTAGTAACAAGTTCTCTTTGCATTTAAGAGTATCACAAGCGCTTCTTGGGATGAACAGATTATGTACTTTACCCAGGACCGCAACACTTCAATCATCATTTATCACCTTATAGAGTACACATCTGTGGTTACCAGCAATACGTATGACTAGAACAGGGCCATCCTTAAGATTTTTTGGTGTCTTATGCAGCTCGAGCATCTGCACTCACCCTATGGGGGGGAGGGCACCACTCTATGGGGTAGGGCTGTGCTCAGAGCTATAGGACAGGAGCTGGGTTTGGGGTGCAAGAGGAGGGTAGGGAGACTGGTGGGGAGCAGGCATATTGAGTAGCAGGGCCAGCTGAAGTTGCAGGACAGGAGGCAGAGCAGCCTGCCAAAACTGTGGACTGGCAGGTGAAGTGGGGGAGGAGAGAGCAAGTGATGGCGGTTAACGGGGCTGGGAGATGGAGTAGGGGAAGTGGGCTGGACGAACTGGAGTTGGAAGTGGCCCTCAGCATAAAACACTACGGCTGTGTCTAGACTGGCCAGTTTTTCCAGAAAATCAGCCGCTTTTCTGGAAAAACTTGCCAGCAGCCTACACTGGCCGCTTGAATTTCCGCAAAAGCACTGACTTCCTACTGTAAGAAATCAGTGCTTGTTGCGGAAATACTATTCTGCTCCTGTTCAGGCAAAAGTCCCTTTTGCGCAAAGCTTTTGCGCAAAAGGGCCAGTGTAGACAGCTCAGATTTGTTTTCCGCAAAAAAGCCCCGATCGTGAAAATGGCGATCGGGGCTTTTTTGCGCTAAAGCATGTCTAGATTGCCACGGACGCTTTTCCGCAAAAAGTGCTTTTGCAGAAAAGCATCCGTGCCAATCTAGACACTCTGTTCCGAAAATGCTTTTAACAGAAAACTTTTCCGTTAAAAGCATTTCCAGAAAATCATGCCAATCTTGATGCAGCTTACTGAACTGTGGTGCCCTACACAGCTGCGTATGCCTAAGGAACAGCCTTGGACTGCAGAAACGCCTGTGTTGATGGCAATCTTTCAGAGGCACAAAAAACACATTCTAAGCGTGTGTCTACACTGTAGTAAAAATCCTGCAACAACAAGTCTCCAAGCCTGGGTCAACTGACATAGGCAGCAGGGCTAACAGTTGCAGCGTTGCCAGT